TGCAGATCTAAGTCTGACTTGGGACTTTTCATTTTTGTGCGATGACAACTCTTTGCAACGCTGTTTGCTCCAGGACTGTGCGTTGTTACACGTGAGGCTAGAGAGGTTTTTGGGGACAAAAAAAGCTGCAAGTCTCTTTACACAGGACACCTTGCAAAGGAAGTGTCACCTCAAGCACGGCCAGCACTGGACCTTGGGGGCCACCACAGTCCTTTGGTCTGTCACAGGAGATGTTCTGGTCTTCTGTGGCAGACAGAAACATGCAGTTTTTGTGGAAGAACATTCTTAGGCTTTACRCTATAAAGTATGTATCAATAGGGGCTTTTCTCATTGAACTCTTGTCATGTTTCATCCATCTCTAGTAGAATCCTTGGGAATGCTTTGTGCTTTCTTTTTGATTTGACTTCTTGCTATCTAATGTCACGTAGGAGAGAACCAAAAGACTCAATTTGCTCGTCCTCAGGTTATGAGAGATGTGCATATATATATATACACATATATATACTTATCTTTTAAACAAAGATATTGAAATTCTCTCATTTAAAGCAAATAACTTCCAGCCAATTCATTGTCCATGCTCTCCAACATAGGAGCTCCCCAGTCTGTACCTAATAACTCTGAATCATTAGATGATAACCAAATACTCAGCTCTAGCTCATCTGGGAGCAGTGGGCAGGTTGCCACATCTCCTACCATCCATTCTTCTCACAGGTGACCTTCRCTCTGAGACGTCCATGAGCACCTTCACCAGGATGGGATGTCCTCTAACAGTTATTAGCTCATATAGGTACCCGTCAAGCATGAAAGAGAATTACTTTTCGTTCATCAACTACATTTTTATACTGCTTCATCTCCCACAGTATCAGGACTGAACCGTTCCTAACAAAAGCGAGCACTCCCTGCTCCAGAGCCTGCTCATGTTTTTTTATACATCTTCACATTTCTGCGAATCTTGGATCTGATCTGCAGTGCCTTTCTTAGTGGACGAGTTAAGCTCAGTGAGAGGGTTGGTGAAGTCCTTAGGTTGAGCAGTTCATCYGCACAGCAGCTTGCTCACGTGGGGCTGCTGCTCATCTGCTTTCATCCCGCCAGGATACTCCTCAGCTGCAGCTTTTCGTGCTGCTGCCCTGTGATATGGCTTTGGATCTGGCAGGGAAGCAACCCTTCTTCAGCATGTTTTGCTGTGCCGGGCTGTAATTGGCTTCTCTGTGGTCACTGATGCATTTTGGACCACCACGTGATTGCAGTTTCCTTGCTGGCTTCTCCAGGAGCAACTGCCTTGCACTGCCTGAAAATTGGGATTTACCTTCAGGGTGAAAGCCCCAAATGGCTGTCCTGAGCTGTACCTCCTCTCAGCAATGCAGACCACGTGCAATAATCAAAATCCTTCCCATCAAGGATCAAATCAATCCCCCATTCATGTTCTGCTTGCAGCAGTACAAGCCAAAGGAGATGCCTCAATCCAGGATGTGCACTCATCTGTGTCAAGCAGTGGCATACAGCATGTTGATTTAACTTGTCCAACCCAAAGCATTCTCTGTGCCTCAAGTGCCTGCCTGCCTTCCTTCCTTCCTTCCTTCCTTCCTTCCTTCCTTCCTTCCTTCCTTCCTTCCTTCCTTCCTTCCTTCCTTCCTTCCTTCCCTCCCTCCCTCCCTCCCTGAAGCCTATGCAGGAATCTCCAGGGCACTCAAAAGTTGCTAATATCTCAAGAGGTGAAGCCCTGTCCCAAGCTGTTTGAGAGCCGGTTGTCCAGCCTTGGTTTGACTGGTGAGCATGTTTTCGATTGCTGCATGTCTCTACGACACCATGGCACACGTGTCACGAACAGTGAGGGTTGCCATAGCAATCTCCTTTTCATACGGAATTACAGAGCTGAAAAGACACTTAAATTCTCATGTAACTGGCAAGAGCAGAAGTTTAGTGCTTTTTCAGACAGCTCTACCTAGTACTGCTGCAGTCTGAGTATTTTCTAAAGTATGTTAATTAGCACTTAATTTTTTATGTATGGATTTTTWAAAAAATTTATTTATATTTATTTGATTCCTTTACCTTCTCCCTCCCAAGCTTTTGCCATCAGGTTCCAATCAAAAGTTTGCTGCTCTATTTTTACCTAGTGTTTGTAAAAGCAACAAAAAACCCTTTTTCTTCCTCTTGTGTAACAAATAAAATAAAATAATAAAACAAAATAAAATAAAACAAAACAAATGGATGTTACATAAATGGAGCCAGTGAGTCAGGTAGGAAACATGGGTCCAATACTGTTGTATGGAAAGYTGTTGGTAGAGAAGTTACTGGGAGATGAAGGTTTAGAATGGCTTGGCCTGATGCCGTCCTGCATTGCCACTCGCTACTGGAAGAATTTGACTGATACAGAAAGGAGTATTGTCAAGATACTCCTTCAAGCTCTAGGAAATAAATAAATCCATTGGGTTCTCTCCAGGAAAAAAAGAAAAATAATAATAATTTTTAAGAAGCCAACAGAAACCCCAATCCTGTACCCAGAATAATCAGTGGGGAGTTTTCCAATAAACTCTACTGACCCCAGGCTATGGCTTTTACCAATATATTCATTATAGGTTTGGTTTGACGAATGGAGTTTGGAGGTGAAGACTTGTACTGAAAAATGACTGCATTTACAAAGCTTTTTACGTGGCATGCATGTAGAAATTATGGCAGCTTCCAGAAAGCTTAGAGGAATGGAAAAGATTATCTTGTTCGCAAGGTAGTTCTGCAGTAATTGGAGTCTGGCTGGCTTTAGTGAACAGATGAGCCTGATGTATGAGCTTGTRTTTCTGGAGGAAGCGAAGAGCCACCACACTGCCCATGGGCTGCAAGCCCTGGCCAGGCTGGAAGGACAGTGCCAACCCCTCTGTCACTCCATGCTGCTCTGCCCATCGGTGCTGAGCACACGCACCAGCTCCAGCACTGCTCCAAGGGGCAGCTGAGGACCTCCCTGGTYGGCCCCACGCTCCAGCCCTGCATGAAACCATCAGGGAGCGGGATAAGTCCCAGAATGGCCCCTATGGCCCTGGTCAGCACTTGCTTTTATACCCAAAGACTCATTCCCAGCCAGGAAGTGGGACCAAGCCATGGAAACATCCTGGAGATAACTGCGAAGATCTTAATAGGCATCATTCAGTGGCAAGTAACATGTAGGGTTTTCATTTTCTTTCTGTTGCTGCCACCTTTCCACATGCCCTGAAACCTGAAAACATGGCTGACATCTCCCTTATAAAGATCTCAAAGCTCGTGGTCTGCAATGTCCAATGCAGCAAGTTCTGTGAATATACCTTGGTTCCCTGGTGACGTGAATCATGCACTCAAAGCTTGCTTAAGATTTTCTGTTGCTGGTTTGAARTCTGTTGCTGCCCTGTAGCAAATAGAAAATTCTCCATCTTCTGGGACATGTAAAAATCTTTGCAGAATATTTTCTGGTTGAGCTCTATTAGTCACAGTAGAAGAGAAATAAAGAAGTATGTGTTTGTGTGCGAGACCCGGGGAGAACTTCAAACCAGGCAGCAAAATAACTAATCTGCTTTGGAAAAGACAGCTGTCTTCTTCAATGATGAAGAGGGGACACCAGGAAAACAGTAATGTCGTGGTGATAGGTGAATAAAACAAACACACAAATAGAGGCTGTGACATGAATTTGAAGGAGTTATGGGAGACAGAACAGTGAGAAGCAGATTTTCAAATCAGGTTACTAAAAAGCATAGGTTAAATGTTACAGATCAAACTTGTAACCAAAGACCTGGAATGGCTCTTTGGGACAGATCCAGGCTTAAGAAGATGGCTGTCGTGTAGGATGAGGGAAGCTTGTGGTTTACGATCCCTTGGGAGTCATCCTGCCCCGTCTCGTGACAAATAAAACAGTCATCTACACTTACAGGAGCAAGATCTCACTGTTCCTTGAAATTTCTGGAGCTAACCCAGCTGGCAACATGAAGCTACACAGCTCTTAGGTCTGGGCACTTCTGTGGACCTCCACGGGAACAAGCCAGAAAACCTCTCCCAAGGGAGCAGCGAAGGCGGATGTCTCCTCCAGGTGACACACAGAAGCACGATTCTTTCACAGGTACATGTAAGGGTTGTGCCAAGTCCAAAAGGAAAATAATGTGCAATATAATCCTGGCACAGGCAGTCCTTGGGCTTTCCATGGGACTTGTTTCGTCTCATCTGCATCGCTCCATCCTTGCTGCTCATGAAAATCTCTTCCAGGGAAAATAACTATAACGCAGGATCTGAGGGTCTGACACACAGCAGGTGGTGGTTTGCTCCAGTGTGATTCCTTCTCTTGCTGCAGGCTGCTTTGCAGCTCACTCCCTTTTGAGCCTATCCATGGGATGGGCAAAGATGCAGTTGTGGTGGGRCGGCTCCTGGGAGGGAACTGAGTAGCTGAGCAGTCAAGACCACGAAGGCAAAAGCATAGCTTCTCCTACGAGAAGGCGTCTGACATGGAGGCTTCATTGCAGGTTAAAACCAGGGCATGTAACATAAAAGACACAGAAAYCAGATGGACAAGGAGAAGGGAAGAGCTCAGAAAGAGCTTTCCTTGTGGCTTTTGGTCTTAGATAGGGTAATTCAAGACCAGTATAAACGAAGGGCAAAACTCCTGGAAAGCAAATGTTTGTGAATATGCTGATGGGACTGAATACAGAGAGTTTTAATCGACGCTGGTGGTTGCAGAGTTGGTTGGAAGACTGTGCACAAATCTTGGAAATGCCCATGTGTGAAAGCAGGTGGTGTTTTTTAAGCCCTGATTCAAGGTGAAAAAAAAAATGGCAAGCAGACTCACGCTACACCAGTCTTGTGTGTCAAAGGCGGCGCTGATAGATACAGATCAAAAATAGAAAATTTGTATGACACTGGCAACTTCTCTTTTTTTTTCTTTTCTTTTTTTTTTTTTTTTAATTTGAAAATACTGTACAAGAATGCTCTTGCTCCCCTCTAATGCCATAAACTCAAAGGCATGGTCATAAGGGAAAAACAACAAAGTGAAGCTGAAGACCATGAGATAAAACAAACAAGACTTGCTTGTGGCAATGCTACGGTCAAGGTGGGCCCAGTGGAGAGCTACGTGAAATAGTCCTTTGGCCCCTAGGTTAAAAGACAGCCACGCTGAAGTAAGTCATGAGGCTGTGCCTCCTTAAAACTGCAAAACAGATGGCTGGATGAAAGTGTCTTCCAAGTTACCATTGCTGTTTTGAAGCAGTAATTCGGGACTCCTGTATATTTTTTTATTGCATTAGGAAACAAAACCTTTAAAGCATTAAGACAGCCCTTTAATGTCCCTGCCAAAAGGATGTAGTTGATTCACAAGACACATTACGCTGCTGGCCTCAGGCTCCTGCCGAATGTTGCTTTGTCTGCCTGCCTCTGCCTCTTCCCCCTGCGAGAGTCGGATCAGGAAAAGCTCACCCGGTGGCATGCGCATGCATGGTCAGTTTGGTTCACAGTGACACGGTGAGAGGCTATTCCATGCCGCTCCGGAGGATCTGGTTGGCCGCGATTAACATCACGCTTATAATAAAGGCCATGGCAAATGCGCAGATGAGGCTCTTCCGTACACATGTCTGCCTGTTCTGCTTCTGTGCATGCACTACAGTAGAGAAAAGGAAGAGGAAAAAGGCAAAGATGAGCTGCCCAGTCCAAGGAACAGTTTTGCTTTCCACCAATTCCCTTTGTAGCATCTGAGTTCAGATGTCCTTCCTTTGTCTCAAAGCTTATGTGGATTATAACCTTCCGCTTAACCTTATATCCATCCCTCAACAATGCCTCCCATGATGACAAAGTCTTACCTTTCCTTGGAGACTATTCCTGGTGAGTACTACACGGGCATTTCAAAAGTAATCTGCCTTTTTATTACTGCCAAACTGATTCTGTTAGTTTCTATTATCTTCCCACTGCTGGAAATACTTTCTCTTTCACCCAACTTATAAACTACTCAAATGCATGCAGATATATGAGAGTTTCAGKTAATTTTTTTTCATTCTTTTGAGAGCCCTTTATGAAGTTTTCTCTTTAATCAGACATATTGGACTTGTGCAAATCCCCTTAGACTCRTCTAGGCAGTTACAGGTCAGCTGGGAATGAGCAGAGATTGAAGATGTACTCTGCAACAACACTTTAAAAAACGCTGCGATGGTTCCCACGAGTGTGCACAGTGTGTTGATTGTTTTTCTGAACTGTCTTTACGTTTCCCGTGCTGAGGCAAAATCAGATTCATTAAGAACCTTTTTCAGATGAACACTTGCAGAATAACGGGCAAACCTACAGAAAGAGGTGAGGGATTTCCGATACTAAAAATACAAGCAAATTGAGACTTTTAGGGTTCAACAGTATTTTATTTATTTATTTATTTGCTTGTAAACTTAGCATGATGTGACCTACTCAAAACAGATCATGTCTTTGTCTCGGTTGCTATAAATATTAGACTAATAGGTGTTATTGGAGGTACTGTGAAGATAAATCTGCTCAGAAGGTCCTTTGAGAGAAAACCACCTGAGTTCAGAAGATCCAGGATGGATGGTCCTGCCCATACAGCAGTTCTGGGGGTCTTGTTTTGGCAGAAGAAAGGAGGTGCCTATCTGCTCTTCTCACGGAGAACATTAACAGTGGTGTGTCTCCTTTCTCATCATACTGGTGATGATGGGAGACGTTCAGACAGTTGAGAACAGACTCAGAATGTGAATAAAAGTCAACTCAGGAAAAGGCTTCCTGAGTGCCCAAGCCTGGAAAAGTCCAGGGCAATGTTTTAAGAGTACATGGAAAAAACCCTCTTATTCTGATACAGGCTTGAAACTTATTGCACAGGGAGGGGGTAGCACTGGATGCTGCATCTGGGCCACAGGCTCATTAACCCCACATCAGGCAGCTCTTTGATGGAGGCCTCCTGGGGCAAGGAAACGCTGTGCAACCAGTACRCCGAGGGGACTCGCTATGTGCCGCCCGGATAATGAAATCCCCCTTACGGCAGCTTGCTTTCTGCTTGCGCTGCCTACTCCCTGATTCCTTCATTTGCTTTTCTAATGAACCCAGAATCAATATTGTGGTTCTCTGGTTTTTGCACATGATGCCCCAGTACTTCAGGAAAGCTTGTTAAATACATGTCATTGCTTATTGCTGTTTCTTTCCTTGGGAAACCTTCCCAGCCAGTGGACAAAATGGTTCTGCAATGCAGTGCCATTCAAAAAAAAAAACTTTCAAAACTGGCCTCCGATTCTTCCTTTTCTAGGGTGGAAGATTGCTGCTGCCCTGGGAGGGGATAGCTGTTCAGAGGGAGCTGCATGTGGAAGGACACTGGAGGGTCAAGGACTGGTTTAGCTAACTGTAGATAAAAAGGGCTACGGCAGAAGGGAGCTCTGCTGTAAAGGGTGTGGTGCTGCTGCCTAAAATGAAGCAAGMAAGCTTAGTGAGACACGTGTCCTCACTATGAACTGATGGTTCTTTGCCCTTGGTTCTCCATTTCTCCGAATGCCTCCAGCACGGCAGCTGTGCTTTCTCCTGCTGCTTTCCACAGCCAGCATTGCCTTCAGGGGTGGTCACTTGTCCTCCTTCACATTTCACTGCCTGCAGAAGTTGCAGTTACACGTGGGATGTGCTGGTGGTTTGGACATGAGSTGGTTCCCCAAACATCACCAGAGTCAGAAGTTCCTCTGGAGATGTCCCAGCCTGCTGTTAGCAGGGGAGAGCAACTCCCCAGAGGACCAAGATTAAAGAAATCTCAGGAAGCAAATGCATGTTGATGCCTAGTATGTGGGGCAGACAGGTCCAGCCCATTTCAAGGTACCTGAATCCCACCCTGTGGCTGCAAGGCTGGTTGTGATGCAGACGGTGGGTTGGAGATCCCAAGGTTGAGAGTTGAGAACCTTCTACAGCAAAATGCTTGCTAACATGAACTGCTACTTATGTATTTACAGTGACTTTTGTCATAACCCTGCGGAAAGTGAGTGACATTTGCTTTCTCTGGCTGACTAGAGATTTATTTTAGTCTTAAGAGGTCAATTTTTCATTCCCACTTGCCCTTGGCTGGAGAGAAAAATGCTCCACACACTTGTTTGGAGTAGGGATGCGGGGAAGCTGTGGCAGCTCTTGAATATGCCATTAATATGAAAATGAGGGCTGAGGATGAAATACCCGTGGCAGGCGGCACAGGTCACCGCAACCATACGGCATCTTTGTTTGCCATGAGCTTAACACTGTGAGCATTTTGAAAAAGGAAACTGAATGAATGACTCTTGTGGAACAGATTTTTGTTTGTACAATGTCAATGCAAACAGTTGTCCCTTTCTCATGTTTTTTTTTTTTCCCACAAATACATACACTATTCTTCTCTCTCAGCTTCATTCTCTGCCCTAAGCATTAATAAAAAATAGTGAGATAGGCTGAAGACAAACTATGGATTTTGCATTTGGTTTAAAGTATGTGTGTGTGTGTGTGTGTGTGTGTGTGTGTGAGAGAGAGAGAGAGAGAGAGAGAGAATTAACATAGCGTGTTGCCAAAGGAAGACGATTATAAAGCTCAGACCTGAAGGTCTTATCATGACAAGAAGCCAAGATGTCAGAACTGTGAGAGTGACACAAATGTAACAAATGTATAATGCAGGTATTTGTACCAGTGACAGTATTACCTGCACAGTACTGACTAATGTCTGGATGTTTATTACCAGTACAGTCAAACTGGTACTTCAGTTTTTGTGGATAGTTATACTGGCCTAAAACTAGCTTACAAAATTGCCTTACCAGAGGAAAAAAAAATTTCTCCTTGCCTTTTGCAGGAACAAAGTAGCATGATGCAAGTGCCTTTTAATAAGACAAACACCATCCACTGTCGGTGTAGCAACACCTTTCCTGGAGAGCGGTACATTCATGCAGATGCCATCTCCAGGCTCTCCGCAGACCTGACTTTTCAGCTAGCTACAGAGGTTTTGATGCTGACATTTCTCAGGTTAAGAAGAGCCCAGCAGAGCTGGGCTGAGCCAGGTAACACACATGGGGCAGTATGAAGGAGGCTTCATACTGCAGGGAAGAAAATATCCAGTGGTGACCATGAGTGAAGTTCATCCTTTAGARTCACGTAGGTACCTGCCATCTTCCTTCCCTTGAGAACCATTCCGAAATCTCAGTCAAAACCACTGGGGCTGATCCTGGTTTCATTCCTACCCACAACTGAAGCCATGAAAGGGGTGGATCAAATACATTACATGAGGAAGCAAAATGCTAAGCTAGTCCTTTTAGGCTATGCTTGCAGTTGAAATATAAGTTCAGCTGATCTCACCCAGTGTAGTGCTTAAAAAAAATTGGAGGAATTGTACCCAAAAAGCATGTCCTTCACTCTGGTAGGTTAAGGTGTGATTAAAGAGYGACCAGTTTAAGTGGAGATGCTTCTACAGCCATCTAAAGCGGACCTGTTGGCAAACCTTCATGACAGTTCTCCTTACTGCCATCAAGCCACTTCATGCCCCACAGTCACTGCACTGGTGCCCTGCAGGGAGTTTAGCGTATTGGGAAACAGGAATGTGGAGGGCGGCTGCCTCTTCTCTGGCCCAAGCAGGTCATTCAGACAACAGCTGAGGTGACATTACTGGCTCTCAGCCCACTTTCCTGGGAGAAACGTTCATGTCAGAAACGCCACAGACGAGAGCCATCCCCTTCTTCTGGGGYGTGAAGCAAAACTTTGCATCTTAGTTGACAGTGTTTGGTTGATCTTTATTCTCTGAGGGATTTGTGTGTCTGTCTGTATTTCTAACAACAGCTAAAACAGGGTCTGTTATGCTTCTAAGGTTCTGCCTAGCACTAGCAATGCCAACATCCCACAAGAAAAGCTGTTCTTGCTGTACTTTTGGAAGGTAGGGCTTCCAGAATGTGTTGCTGAGCATTTCTTTTATTGGACCCATCTTTTGTTCCCAGGACAGTTCACTAAGCCGAAATAAGTCCTGTCTGCGTGTGTCTTGCAGCAGTGACAGCTGGGGGCTGGCACATGTCTCCGCTGAATCAGCAGGTCACTGGGGACCAGCAACTCCATTCGTGTAAGTAAGCAGCCCTTCCTGCCTCTCTTCAGGAAGAAATAAATGTTGCTTGGCTTGATTTGAAAAGTGTCATTGCTTGCTTCCCTCCTGCAGGCTTTTTAAAATTCAGCTATGCTCTTCCACATCTTTTCTGCAGTGTTTAGCGGAGAGGGAGCATGCTGGATACCTCTACCGAATCCTGCTAATTAGCCAGGCAAAGAGTTGTACAGTAGGTCTGTCCTTGGCATTGCTTTAGAGATGCATGAGCATCACCACACCGTGGTGTGGGGACACAGGGGGGTATGATGCAGATGCACCAGTCCTGCTCGTTGGTGTAACGTGGAGCTGTGCTAGCACCAGGCCTGTGTCTCTGGCTTGGCCCAGCCCGGAGCTGTTATGGATGTACTGCTGATGGCCTAGGAGCTAATAAACTTGCCCTTTGCATGAATCCTGCCAAGGAGAATGGGGCCAGGAGCACTTCAAAGGACCTACTAGGACCCGTACCTCTGCCTGAGGACAGGATTGACTTTACTTCCAATCCCTTGGAAGAAGGCTAAAGGCCAGTTCCTGAGCTCTTTAAGTGTGTAATTGCTACTTACTCTAAATCCCTTGCATCCTTGTTGCTGACCAGACTCGGGCTTCCACAAAGGAAGCAGCAAGAGAATCATTGTAAAGAAAYTTAGGGACTTTCTCACCTTCAAACTCTGTTTGGCAGTTGCCAGAGTTTTCATTTAAACTTTCCTCTTCATTGATAATGATGTTTTCGATGTCTTTCATCGTTAAGTGGTCTCGAAATGCATGGTAGAGGATGTGTTTCAGCTCCTCCAGTGTTATCCTCTGCATGTCGAACTGTGGGAAGAGACGGAGTTAGGCTTGGCTGGTAGGTACAAGAATGGTACTCAAAGGAAGAGAGGCATGCCAGCGCATCACACCTTCCTACTTGTGTTTGYTTTCAGCCTCCTTTCAACACCTCAGCCTTGCAAAATTTGCTCTGCTAGGTTTATTTAGCACCAACAGTAAAGAACATTACAAATGGACATTGCCAGGGCTCTTGCCATACTACTTTTTGTCAGTAGAGCAGTAGAGAGAATCATAGCCTTGAGCAGAAGTGGCTTTCCAGGCTGGAGATGCAGCAATTCACCATTAACCCCAGCACAAGTAACTCCCCAAGATATTCCCCCAGCATCTCCTACTCCTTGCCATGAGCCATAATCTTCTTCCTGCCCCTTCTTCCTTCTGACCCCAGTTGCAGCTGTGTGGAGAGCACAAGTAGAGAACATTTCCCTCTAGCTGATTCTGTCGTAGATCCATTGCCAAGTTTTGATCCTACATATACCAGATCCCTGCCTTAAAACCAGCAGAACGCTGCAGAATATGTAGAAGTGAACTTTCTTTTTGCAGCAGAAGAGCAACACATATGCATAAGCTTCATGGTATTAATGCCTACTAATGATACTCAAGAGAGGGCAACACCAGCTGACTCACAGAGGCAAGGGAGGAGGCCAGTCTCTCTGAGCTACCAGGCAGTCACCAAAGGACAGAAGTGCTCCAAGTCACTCTACAGTATCTCCCTGTTTTGCTGACTAGAGGCCATCTGACTAGAGGCAGATGGCCATCACATATAGCACCTTAAACAACAGTCTTTGTGGCCCAAAACATAGGTTTGCCACAGACAGCGAGCCCCAGGACTTTTACATCCTTCTCTAGCCCAACCTGCAAGAAACCTCAGAAAGGCCAAACAACATCTCTGGATTAACACCACGGTGGAAGAAAAGAGATGTGAGCTTGCACCCGTGACTACAGTTAAAGCATGGTGATAGTGTGCGATCAGACGGCATACGCAGCATTTCGGAAATGGAAAAGCAAGGAATCCCCCCTCCTTCCCCCAGMCTGATAACAGCAGGAGCAACCTTATCGGGGCTTCGCTGCTCCGTGCGTTATCTAAGGTCGTTTTCCCTGACCACTGCTCCACACCTCACTGCACAGATGAAAACCCATTAATCCCCAAAGTGATWAACGGAGGAAAACAAGTGCACTTTGATTAAACCTAGACCCCTGAAATATGTTATGTCTGTGAGTGTGTTTACTGACAGGCTTGCACACATGCATATATATTTGTTCATCTACACTTAGGGACATTTACTTCTACAATTCTAATTATTATTTTATTTTCATGCAATGATTAAAAACCTGGGGTAGAAAATCTGCGGAAAAAAAATAGCAGACAGCACTGGCAAGAGGTAAAGTTCTCATCTTTTCCCCAGATGAATTCTCCAAAAACCCTGTCTGTTGGGTTTGGTAGTTTTACTCATGTCCTTGTTCCTCAGGGACAGCAGTGTTCATACTGCCCAGCTAAAAATAGCRAGCACACTATCGTCACCAGTGGTCCCTTGTCTCACAATTCAAAGCTGGCATTGAAAATCCCCCTGGTATTTAGTCGCAAATTTCCAGCCTGCTTTTTTTGTGCATGAAGAAACCTGTCCTCCCATATTCTGCTTTAAAAGAACAAGGAAAACTGAGCAGCTCTGAACCTCACAACTAGCACAATTATGAAAAGCATTCCTCTGGCTATTAGAGGTGTGGGAACGAGGGCTATCATGTGCACTTGTCTTGCAGGGGTGTCAGCAGGCACCATTAGTGGAGGTTTGCAAGAACACCTAGCAGCTGCCTCCTGCCACCCCTGCAAGGCAGCTGACCCTCAGGGCTACAGGTAATCACGRTCAAGTTTACTTATCTAGACATGCTGAACATGCACCAGCACCAAGTAGGAGAGCATGACCTGCCTTCAGCAGAACTGGTCCTTGAGGGTTAAATGTCTAGGGATTGGGTCAAGCCCTCTGARTAGTGGATCTATCCTGGGATATAAGCAGTGTTTTCTCACCTGCAGCCCAGCTCAGCTYCTGCCTTCCCTAGTGGTCTTTGTCCATGGGGAGTGCAAAAACAAACGGAGCCTTGGCATGTTCCTGAATGCACCCGTATGCCAAACCTCCTAATTCCATATTAATARTGACTTCATATCAACCTGAGCAGCCTGTCTTTGTGTGGTTTACTCCATCCCATCAAGATGTGAAGTGCAACTGGTGTCAGAGGGGTTTTTCCCTGTTCTTGGCTCTAAGGTAGTTATCTGACATCAATAAAAACTGGTTTTGCTGTAGTTTTGATTGCTTGTTTTTTCTTTTTCYCTCTTTCAGAAAAAGGCCTTTCTGTAAGTCATCCAAGACCTCTGTTTGCCCACTACTGGAAGAATGTTCACCTCTGTGACTGAGTGCGTCTATGATCATGAGGTATTTCTGTGATCTGCTCTTCATCGTGTACACTACTTTCAGGTTTCCACATGTCCTTTGCTCAGGATATCTGCAAGGACAAGTGAGCCTCCTTTGGATTTGCTGGAAGTCCTCACAGGCTTCAKGTGGGCAAGTTACTTAGAGAAGAGGGACTCCCTGAAGTGAAGTCCTGGAAACTGGAATGACCTGTGGGTTTTCGGATCTTCTTGTACTAGTTAATCTGTCTAGTGCGGAACAATTGCTGCCTTGCCAAAATGTATCTGTTGCTGAGTCTTCAGTTCTTGCTTTTGGGTCTTATGATAATATATTTTTTTTCTTCCTTTATGATTTTCTCTTTCAGGAAGAGATCTGAGGTAGRAAACTACCTCAGATAGGGTTCAGAAACACTCTTACTGGCTGGTGTCTGAAGCATTCAACTTGTGCCTAGGTTGGCCAGCATATAGTCCTTGAATCTACTTCATTTCTGGCTTGCCCTATGTTCCCAGTACTTGCATGCAGTATTTGAATGGAGACATTTCTTCCATTAGATATATATGTCTTCTGGACCCCAAATTATAGTGCAGAACTTTGTCCAGACTGGGCATGATGCAACCTGAGGCATAGCTTTGCATCGGGTTTAGGCTCCCGCGTAATTTTTTCTGTCATTGTTGCTCTCAAATCTGGTAGTTTTTCTGATTCACTTTTCAATTACTCTGGCTTTTTACTGTTGTAATGATGGTAACCAGGGAGCAACTCTTAACTTTTATTGGATCCACCGAGAGGAAAACTGGCTGTTGCAAGCTGAAAACTTTCTATAGGATTTATAATTAGAAGAAATCAATGATGCCACTTCTGAACTACGGCTCCTGGAATATATGGTAATCAATGATAGAGAAACAAACTGTGACTAATGCTGATGCTCAAATGCTCCAATTGATACAGTGAGTAACCTGAACAAAAATCTATTGCTTGAACAGGTGCTTAGCTTCCTGTAGAGAGCACAAGGACTCATCCCCTGCAGGTTCTGGTGGACCTCAGTAACTGTCATCAGCTAAGACATCTTTCGGAGACAGAGGATGTTGCCCTGGGAGATATCTAGAAGGGAAACTGGACCTGATCCAGTTCAGTCAATAGCTTCCTGACTCCTCCTTGCTTTAAATTTCCTGCTGGGAATGAAAGCACAGTCCCTMCTAGTACTCTCAGTCTCCATACCCCTGGTTTGTTGTTGGTTGATAGTTGATAGCTACTACTCTTGGTTGATCTTGCAATGCCAGACCTTCCGCATCAGGGTTTCAGAGTTCATGGCGTGCCCCTATTGCTCTGCACAGTCAACAAAGTGGGTGTCAGTTCAATGTCCACAGCTCCATGAGAAAATCTATCCAAGCTGCATGAATAAAAGCGCTCTTTTCAACAAGGGTCAGGACTGACTCCTCTAGCAGTCATAGTTTTAACTGGAAGAACACTTGGGTGTTCTATTGGACACAATTATCCCAAAGACCCTAGAAAGGTCTTTTTCCCCCCATACCACTGCCCATGAGTGCTCCAAATGTCCAGCGACTTGATAAGCATGCACTGGGATAGGAGACTTTGAGACGGCAGCGGGAGAGCAGGTTCTTGGCTGGTGCTCTTGAGAACCAGTCTTGCAGTGCCATAAGCTTCCTGTTTCATAAACTGCTTGTTTGGGGCAAGACATGCTAATTCTGAACAATGAGTATAATCCTTTGTTTTCAGATTTAGTGCAATTCAAGCCATAGGATTCTTGAACACTGCAAGAGTTTGTAGTTTGCTACATCCAATAAGCTCTTACTGTGGTTTTCCAGCACGCTGGACTTGAATATTTGAGCTGCCTTAACCACATACAGTTTTGTACTGGATTTTCACAGCCTGTGTTCGCAGTTAGATAAATAGCACTGGGGTGGTCCTGTGCATACGGACGTGAATTCACAGTCACACCTTGCTCGGCTTTCCTCAGCCGCATGTCCACAGGTCACCCCAGGCAGACAGGTCCTACCACCCTCCCAGCCAACTGCAAAGCCCCAGGACACAGGCCTCAAAATGCTCCATCTCTGCACAGCAGCTGGCTGGGCTTCGTGCTGTTAATCACAGCTGTTCCTGGGTAGCTCTGGAGGTGCACACGACTTCTGTGAGYGCTCCCAGCACACTGCGTAGCTGTTCCTTTTGTCATCCGGGCTTCGAGCTCATAAACTAMTGATCTGGGACCGTTGTATAGGGCTGAAATTTAATGTTGGCTGCAGTTGAATGTGCAGAGCCCTGGTCTTCTCCATGCAGAATSTGATGTTTTCCTGGACCTGTCTAGGGGCCAGATGAATGACTGTTTTGTACTGACTGTACTTGCTAGATAAGCTCAGCCATGGATGTTTTGCAACGAGAGTGAAACTGTTTGCTGGAAAAGCCAGCAATGTCTGGAGCGGCAGTGAGGGCATGCACAGAAGTGAGCCAGCTCCTGCAAGCGAGGCCGTGTTTGCAGAGGGGATTTGTACCGCGAAGGCTGAAGGACTMCCTGGTGATGACTACGAGACAGCCAGTACCATTTCAATCCCAGACACGGAGATTGGCCTTCACGGT